GCGCGGAGTTCCGTGTTCATGCAATTTTTCCTTTGTGGAGGTCCAGGCTCGGCCGGTGGGTCCATCGGCATGTCGCCAAACACTACCCTGTCACCTGGTTTCGCGCCCTCGGGGACTTCGACGAACTTCACGTCGGAGTGGTCCGCGCTCGAGGCGCACAGCACCATCCCGTTGCTTGGAAACCCTGCCAGCTTCTTGGGCTTCAGGTTGGCCACGACCAGCACCTGCCGGTCGGGCCGAAAGCTTTCTCATTTCTACCTCGCCCCCCTCTGGGCAGGAGGTTGGGCACAACCAGAAACTGGAACTGTGGCTGCAATCGACCCCACCACACTCACTTCTGGAGCAAAAACACCACGGCCAGGAATCTCGGACTCTACCCCGTGAGTGCGACTGCGCAGAACACCCGGAAAGGGAAGAAACAACAAGAAGAAGACGAGGGACGGATGAGGAAGAGGAGACGCCGAGGTCCTGTTGACGAACCGACACATCGCGGCGTAGCCGCACAATAAAAAACTGGGGGCGCGGGGTATGCGTGCACAGAAAGCAGCATAACATGTGCAGGATGTTCTCCATCAGCCGCCTTTTGGTCCAACACGCCACGTGCTCCCCACGGCGGCCGCCCAGAGCCTGCGCGGTAATTCCAGCCCGCTGTCGAAGGTGCACTTGGCCACGGAACAGCGGACAGACCTCTGTGCGCAAATTTACCTTCATCTGTCCTGACAACTGGAGTCCCTCCTCATAGAATCGGGCCTTGACGCTGTCTGCATGGATAGCCCATGCAGCTCAGCCGGTACCATCTGCGCATCCCGGCGTACCACGTCTCGCCCTTCCTGATGCCGTACTCGAAACGTGCAGCCGCCCCCCACTCAAAAACTGGAGTTGCTCGATCAGCTTCTTCACTCCCTGATCCGTGCCTAGCGTCGCACGAATGCCTTTGAACTTACTTTGCAGCTCCACTGGGTACTCCTCGAAAATATTGGAGGCCTGGGCGTCTGGCTGAAGTCCAGTTCGCTTGGTCCAGGATGCGATGTTAGCGACGTATACCTCGATGTGTTCCAAGCCGAGGAATGCAGGAGGCTGGCCGTAGCGTCTACCTCTCTCTGGTGGGGGCTTGGCGTCGGCTCGCCACCGCTCCAAGCCCTCGCCTTGCCGTCGATCGAGACCATCATTCTGCCGCTGATTTGACCTTCCTAACGACTGTTTCGATGTATTCCACCAGTCCGGCGAGGCCCCCCCATCCTGAGTAGTGGTCCCAGTCGCCGACGTACTACTCCTGCTCCTCCCAGTGTTCGCACTGCGTCTGAGCGTCCGTGGTTCCTCCAGCTCGTGCCTCCTCATCTCGCGGTTCACCTCCTGCGTCGTTGACATCGTGCCTGTCTGACGCTGCCCTCCAGATTCGATAACCACGCTCCGGCTAATATTGACAACGGCTCGAAAGAAGGAGAAGGACATCAACTTATCAGAGAGGGGCACCATCGACTACATGTCGCTATCCGCGCCTGGCCCAGGCAGGGCGAGCAAAGCCTTGAAAAGGCCATGGGAAGCCCGAAGAGAAACATCACACTTTTTCCAAATCTAAATGACATTGTAAGATTGCTGGAGATGATTCTGCGCTCGAAGTCCACGTCTCTTCACGACAGAGGAAATCCAGACTCCAAGCACGCATCGCTTGGCAAAGCGTGTAAAACTTCTCGTCGATCAGGCTGCTGGCATTCCACGTAGCAGTTGTAATGCGCCCACTTTGCGCACCAGAGGCGGACGTGGGCGTGGGCAGGCCGACGGCGTTGAAAAAAAACATAGTGAAACTGCGTCCTTGCCTTCTGGGCCCCGTCACTTCCCCGCGTTCTTCCCGCCCCCCCCCCCCAACTTGCCCGCGGCGCGGCCCGGCGCTGCGCCGCGTAATCTGCAGCGCCCAACGGATGGAGCAAACTGATAGGATGCCGTTGCCCCCCGCCTGCATGGCGAACGTCTCATCGTTGGCCCAGATACTTCTGAAACCCAATCGCCCCCAAAGTCGTTTGAGACCAAATAGATACTGAGTGGGGATCCGAGCGTTGGTTGGCTCATCTGCGTGTGCCCATATCTTTTTGGCAAGAGGGGAATCGGGAATCTGCGCAACGTGCTCCAAGTCGCCTCCGCGTCTGCATCGTTGCGCATCTTTGCGGGAACGACGCCGCCGATGACCTCTCCCCTCGTACAGACCTCGGCCAGCGCTGGCACCGTCAACTTGTCGAGCTCTTGCTCGATGAATTGTTATCTTCCGGTGCCCGCGACTAAAAATTCATCCAAACTCCCGAACAAGATGGCGTCGGCGTCCGCATTGCCGCACGTCGGCGCCTTGCCAGGCTGCCGAAGAAGAACAACTTCACGTTCAAAGTCCGTGACGTCGGCATCAACGGGCGCTCCAGACGCAGACCTTGCCGAAGCCGGCCAGGGAGAATAATTTGATTCCAGGAAGCGCAACCGATTGGCCAAGTCGTTGATGTTGGTATTTATCGAGTTGAGCGCGATGTTCGAATCTGCGTTATGCGCAATGTGATTTGCAGATTGGATGTCGTGCAGGATGGGATCCAGGTTAGTGGTTCAAGATCGCCTCAAGGCCCTTAGCGGTCAGGGGGTGGTCTGCTGTTGTTGGCGTAGTGCTGGTGCTCCAGGGTCTTGTGCCATAGACTGCGGCTCTCGTGGCAGGCTGCTCCCCGTCCTGGCCTGCTTGAGCGCGTTTTGATAGGGTGCCCATGTGATGTTTTTCTCCGCCCAAAGACTTGCGAAAGACACGAGCACCCAAACCAAATAGGAATCGGTAACAGTCGATGAATGTTGGAGCGCGGATGTAAATGGCGATTGTGGTCCGAAGTCTCGTGGTCGTACTCGGCGTGATTCTGAGTTGCAATGGGGCGGGGCCACGAAACGTGCGAGGAGTGCGCCGAACTGGGGCGGGATCGCATGCGAGCGCAGCCACTGGGGCGGTCGCTGGAGCTCCTATATGGGGCCACGAAACGCTGCTGGGGCGCTCGGGGGGGTCTTCCAAATCGGGCCACGAAACATGTGAGGAGTGCGCCGAAATTGAGCGGGGCCGCGTGCGACTGCAGCCACTGGTGAATTCGGTGGGGCTCCATATGGGGCCACGAAACGTGTCCGCGGTATGCCGAACTGGGACAGGGGCGCATGCGAGCGCAGCCACTGGCGCGTTCGCGCGAGGTACGTCTGAGGCGAAACGCGCGAGGGGTGCGCCGAACTGGGGCGGGGCCGCATGCGAACGCAGCCACTGGGGCGGTCGCTGGAGCTCCTATATGGGGCCACGACACGTGTGAGGAGTGCGCCGACCTGGGGCGCGGCTGCGCGCGACCGCAGCTGCTAGGGCGCTCGGGTGGATCTCCCAAACCGGGCCACGAAACATGTGGGGAGTGCGCCGAAATGGGGCGGGGCCGCATGCGACTGCAGCCACCAGTGAGTTCGGTGGAGCTCTCTATGGAGCCACGAAGCGCGTGAGAGGCGCCGCGCTGGGGCGGGGCCGCATGCGACTGCAGCCACTGGGGGCTCCGTTGGAACTCCCCACGGGGCCGCGAAGCGCGTGATGGGGCGCGCCGACATGGGGCGGGGCTGCATGCGAACGCAGCCCAAACAGCCTCCAGTGGAACTCCGTACGGGGCCGCGATGCGTGTGAGGGGTGTGGCAAAACGGTGATGATAATTATCCCAGTGCGACCCTACCTAGGAGTTGGAGCATTTAGGAAAGCAGCATCTACATCTACACCGACAGCTACATTTACATCTACACCTGCATCTACATCTACATCAACACCAACAGCGAGACTCACATCTACATCTACATCTACACCTACATAAACACCTACATCTACAACTACATCTACACCTACATCCACATCTACACATACACCTACATATACATATACATATACACTTTCGCATTGGTTTTGATTGCTATGCTGCGCTGTGCTATGCTATGTTGCGCTGTGATATGCTAAGCAATGTTATGATATGCTATACTATGATATGTTATGATATGCTATGATATGCTATGTTATGCTATGACATGATGGGCTATGCTATGCTGTACTATGCTATGATATGCTATGATATGCGGTGCGATGCTTAGCTGTGCTATGCTATGCTATGCTGTAATAGTGCTGCGCTGCGCTATGTTGCGCTGCGCTAAGCTAAGCTAAGGCAAGCTAAGCTATGCTAAGCTATGCTATGCTAAGCTAAGCTAAGCTAGGCTAGGCTAGGTTAGGCTAAGCTAATATAAGCAAAGCAAAGCTACGCTAAGCTAAGCTAGGCTAAGCTACAGCTAAGCGAAGCTAAGATGAAGCTAAGCTAAGCTAAGCTAAGCTAACCCCAGATGAGATAAGCAACGCTAAGCTAAGGGGGCGTCACTGGGGGAACCACGGGGCGGATGCCGGGGGAACCGCCCGGGGCGAGGAACACTGCCCGGCCCTTTAAGCTTGTAAAGTAAGAACCCTTCTAGGCAGAGCCTAGGTAGGGAATTATCACCTTCCATTATGTTTGTCAGGGCATGTCTGTGCTGCAGGGGGGCGAAGGCGCATATCCCGTCGACCGACGGGCTTGCGAGAGACCGCCTGCAGCTGCCAAACAAAACCGGGATCGCAGGAAAATAACGGCGGGAACGGGGTGGGGAGAGGCGGGAAGCTTGAGCCGCAGTGGTTGCGGCACACGCATTTCAAATATCAAAACACCCAGCATGCAGTACTATGATCACCGTCCATTTTGTTTGACAGAACACGTCTTTGCTGCAGGGGGCAAGGGCGCATATCCCGTCGACCGACGGGCTTGCGAGAGACCTGTCTGCAGCTGCCAAACAACATCGAGCTTGCATGCACCAGGCACGCTTGCAACCCCAAGCCGCCAGGCCGAACAAACATTTACAAACGCTAGCCGTTACAAGGCGCGGCGACTGAGACAGGCATCTCAAATGTTCAGCCGCCGAGACCATCCAGTCGGAGACCCAACCGATGAATTCCCTAGGAAATCGGTGGGCAGAAAACTTCCACGGCACACCGCGCGGGTCCAAAGGGGCGAGACAAGCGTGAAACCGACGAGGACCCGAACACCTGTTGCCCGCGCCATTACAAGCGGGACGGGCTTCCAGCGGTGGCGACGAGACAGCCCGCGACCACATTTTAGCCGGCCGAGCGCGCGCACTACCGTGCTGGCACAAGTTTAATTCAGCCGCTTGCGTAGCATGCGACATAGCGTACTTGACGGACGCAAGGCTTAGCATAGGAGACGCGTCGCAGGCTTCTACAAACACAGGGGCCCTTAAACGATGGCACTCGAGGATCAAGGAGGACAGCCCTCCACAGAGCCCGAGAGCGAGCCGAGGGGGCCCGGGGGCCCGAGGCGAGGGGGGGGCACGCGCTCAAGACAACCGAGCCCCGAAGCCACCCAAAGATCCTCTGGCGCACCGCGGGTCGAGACCAATCGAACCAAACGCTATGTAAACGGTCGATGCATATGGCGGCATACCCTAAAGAGCGCAAGCGCATTACGATGGGCCGAGAAGACCTTCCAAGCCCCAAAAATACGATGCGAGGTCTCACTGAAGAAGCTCTCGTTACATTTTTCAGCTGGCGAATCAAATAGCGGCCCGCCTGCCCGTCAGCACGGGTCTCGCCCGCCCGCGAGATGTCGAGGGCGGCTGCCAGGGGATCTGCAGAGCGAGAGGCGATCCGCGGCTGACAGCCTCGAGCAGCGGCACCACATGGCGGTCCACCTGGAGGCCGAAGGAGAGCACGGCCTCCCCGAGGCTGTTCATCTGCTGCTGGAGCTTGGTCCGCTTCGCGTAGCGGCGGAAGGGGGCAATCCGCGATCCACCCTCCACGATCCTTGACCTCGGCTAAAGTCCTGCGCGCTCCAAGTAGATCGTCGCTCGCCGCGCTGTGGCGGGGCACGCGCAGCGACGGCTGAGTGGCGAGGCCGAGCGCCTCGGCGGCGCCGTTGAAGGCGTCGCGCACCTCCGTCGCCTGGAAGTCCCAGAGCGGCGCTGCGCCAGGGCGAGCCGCCTTCAGCGCCGCCCAGAGCGGCCACCAAGCAGCCTGGTCCAGCGCGACGCCCTCGTCGGTGATGCCCGTCTCGCCTGGCCTGCTGTCCCCCCCTGGGTTGAGAATCACTCCCCGCTCGGCGCACTTCTCGCCGGCCAGCGGGCCGGGCGGAACCAGGGGGCGGCCGCGCCATCGGAGGGCCTCCGAGGGCCGCAGGTAGCTGGCGAAGGAGAGGATCACGAACATCGCGAACGGGATCTGACGCCGCGCCAGAAGCACGCCCACGATCGCCGACGCGGCAGGCCTTGGGATCGGAAGACGCACGCAGGGCGGCTTCAGCCTCTTCCAGCCCTCCATCGCCTCGCACGCCCCGGGCAGCGCCGCGCGGGTGTTCCCCGGGGCGGGCAGCAAGTGGCGCGCCGCCGCCAGCGTCGCGCGGCCTGTCGCCGCGTCGAAGCCGCATAAGGCCAGGTGCGCCAGGAAGGCCGTCAAGATCACGTCGAACTCCTGCGGCGTGGACCAGCGCAGCCCCATGCGCAGGCACCAGCTCACCAAGCGCTGAGCGTGGCCCGCGCAGTGCTTGGCCGTCGTGTCGGTGAGGGCCACCGTCTCGAGGAAGCTGAGACATCCGTCCGGCAGCTGCGACGCCGTCGTCTGGGGCGCCAGCCTCTGGCGGGCTAGCGCCATCGCCCGCTGGGGCCGCCCCCGCCGCGAGACCGCTTGGCGCTCCGCCTGCGGTCGGGCCAGCGCCCTGCCGCTCGGGGCCCATGAAGAAGCCACTCCGCGACGGGGCATCGGAGGGGTTGAGCTCCGAGGGGGCCCACATCGCACGCGCGCGGCAGCCCGAGGCCAGGAGCAAGGACGCGAACCTCCTCAGGGGACGCGCGAGGTTAGGCCCCCCCCCCCCCGCGCCCATTGCCCACGCTGAGAGCTAGAGCCACACTGTCGACGAACAAGACCGGGCGGTGACCCAAGAGCGGCCCAGATCGCAAGAGGTGACGCAAGGCGAACTCGAAGGCACCCCCTCGGACTCCAAGATGTCCTTAATCTTGAAGACACGGCTAGAGTGCCCAATCCCCCACTGGGGGCCCTCCAACAACTGCTTTGGGATCTCTACGAAGGAGGGCGGGCCGCGCTCGGAGACCAGGGGGCCCTCGAAGTCGGCGACGGCTTCAGCGCTGTGAACTCCACGCGGCCCTTCGCGATCTCCAAGGGGTTCTCGCGTAGGTTCCCGAAGGTGCCCTTCAGCGCCAGGACGGCCCGCTCCCTGCCCAAGATGATCTCCACCTAGCGCGTGTTGACGGGCAGCGATGGCGCCATGGAGCTAGCACCTCGTCTTTTCGGCGAAGCGCCCAATGCCGGCGACCGCGCGCACGGGCAGCCTACGGCGGCGAACCCCAATCCCGTGGCCCGGAGAATCCGAAGCCGCGACGCCGGGGGCCCACGGGAGGCGCCATGAGGAGGCCCACAGAGGCAGCGAGGACTGCACCCAGCGGGGCTCTTTGAGGACCCCCTCCCGCAGCTTCTTGGGCTCGGCGGATCGCGATCTCGCGAAGGCAAAGGTAGCGGACAACATCGGTAATGTTTCACGCCTGCTCAAAATTGCCCAAGTGATGCGGCCGATCAGAATGGGCGTGGCACGAGGAGAATTCTGACCATGCCGAATCGCAGAATGGATGCCCAATCGGAGACGCGCGATACGAGAGCACGGGGTTATCGTGCCCCCTTTTTCTCCGTCGAACTCGAGGCCCGTAAAAATCATGGCAACGCGAGCCTCCTGGACCTCGTGCGCAGACATGCCATGAGAGGCCACCGCTGCTGAGATGGTCTACAACTTTGAATCGGCGAGCTCCTTCGACCCCGCGACGACGCAGCAGTTGTCCACGTAGGCGGCAACCGCCCAAGAAGTCGGGTGCTGTAGCGCGAAAGACGGGGCCCCGTCCACGATGAAGCGATCAGCTTCTGCTCCAGCATCCCGCGAGATAAAGGTCGGCGGTGGTCGCTGGTGGGCGCTGCTGGTCAGTCGGGGTCGGCGCTGCTTGTGGTGCTGCTGGTCGGTGGTGGTCGGTGGTGAGTGCTGCTGATTGGTGTGGGTCGGTGCTGCGTGTGGTGTTGGTCGGGTGGTCGCTGGTGGGCGCTGCTGGTCGGGCGGGGTCGGCGTCTGTTCGTGCAAGAGCCTTTCTTCCGCCTCCAGTGCCCCGCGCTGTTGTCGGTCGGTCGCGATGCCAGCGTCGAGGCTGCAAGTCCCAAGGGGGCGGCTCCTGGGGGGGGGGGGATTATATTGCCGAGTTGGTCTCGCATCGAATTCTGGAAGACACGGGCATTGTCAGGGGGGTGCGGGGGGGGAGAGGGTAGCGAGAACACTCGAACACTCGAATGCGCTGCGCAAGTGTGCAAAACTCTCTAGGCAGGTCTCAGACCGCGCCTTCGTGACTAGTTTTGTTGGGGGCCTTTGGCGTCCCATTCGCGCGCTGATTGGGCAACTGGCACCTTCGTCTCTTGTCCCCGGTCTGCGTATTCCACCTCCCCAGACGTGATGTTAGCCACCGTTTTTCCCAACGCCTGCACCACGAGTTCGCCCCTCAAAATACAATGTCCTCCGGGGGATGCCCAAATGACGGTTGAGGTGGTATTTGATGAAACCGAGCTGCTTCATGTCCCGCCGCTCCGTCTTCGTGAACTTGTCTGTAAATCATACGGTTTGTTCCGGGGTTCCTCTTGGTACTCGGGGTGTGCTGTCTCGCACCAGTTTGTGGAAGCCGTTGTTGCTCGCGAGTGTCTGCAACTCCATGTGTCCGACGCTGGTGGGATCAGTCATGCTAAACACGTTGTGCACCCAGTCTTGGTAGTTGTGGTCCTTGGCGAAGTGCGTCAAATACCAGACGACGGACATTTCGGAAGTGTCTTTTGGAAATCTGCGTGCCACCAGTTGCAGGTTCACAATGATTGAAATGGAACTGCCGCCTTTCATGTTCTCGACTGCTTGTTGCAGTTGCTGCACTTGCTGGGCTGTGGCGCCAGTCTTGGCGTGAAGCGCTTTGAATTCATTCGCGTTCGAACCGTCGGTGTCGTCGACCTGGCTCTGCGATGCCGTCGAACATCTCCTCAGTAGTAATTCGCCTGACCGTGCTGCGTCATTCGCTTATCCATGATGCTGCGCATGCGCTCGAACATGGCGTCGACGACAGCCTCATCCCTAAGCTCGAGTGCTGGCTCCTGATCCTCATGCTGTCCTGTCCTTGTTTGTTTGGGTTGCGGGGTGGAGCCGGTCGCGGTCATTGCCTTCCGGATGCCGTCCGCGGGGCGCTCGGGCGAGAGCGACATGACGGCAGAAAGAAATGAATGTGGTAGAGAGAAGCCAAAGTGTTGGAAAGTGAAGGGAATATGCCACTTGAGCACTTGAGGGACGAGGCCACTAGAGGGGGAGGATGAGAAGGAGGAGGGAGGAAGGAGGAGGGTTGAGACCATAGTGCTCTGTTCAACACGAGTACCCAACACAGGAGTGATGGGGGAAAGCACATATCCTGCGACGCCCCCAACCCTTTCTAAACATGTGGCGCCTATGACCCAGGACCGCTCAATACGAACGAACACGTTGAAAGACCCGCGCTACGCGGGAACACCTCTCCGTGAGCGAGGAGCCGCTGGGTCATGGACGGGTCTGCGTGGCCCTCCACTCCGCTGGCCCTCCAAGAAGCCTACGAAAGTGGCGAGGGTTGCGCACTTCGCAGCCCCGCCCCAGGGAACCGCGAGGTCTCGGCTGGGTCTGCGTTTCACTCCACTCCGCTGGACCTCGCAGAAGCCCACAAGAGTGGCAACGGCTGCGCACTTCGCAGACCCCCAGGGAGCCGCGAGGTCTCGGCTGGGTGCGAGTGGGCCTTCGCTCCGCTGGACATGGCAGGAACCCGCGAACGTGGTGACGGCTGCGCACTTCGCAGACCCCCAGGGAGAAGCGAGGTCTCGGCTGTGTGGCCCTCCACTCCGCTGGGCCTCGCAGGAGCCTACAAAAGTGGCAGCAACGAGGCACCTCGCAGCCCCTAAAGAAACCTCAAAGTCTCGGCTGGGTCTGCGCGGCCACCTTGCTCCGCCGTGCCCCCCCTCCCGGGAGCCCACGAAAATGACGACAAGCCCGCGCTTCGCAACACCCCGGGGGGCCGCGAGGTCTCGGCTGCGTCTGCGTGGCTCCCCACTCCTCCGTGCAACCCAGGAGTCCACGAAAGCGGCGTCAGTTTCGCATCTCGCAGCCACACAGGGGGCCGCGAGGAGGGGGAACCCGCGCCTCAAGGGGGGGCCCCATCCCAGCCGCATCGCTGCCCTAGGCAGCACGGGGCGCGCCGCCCGCAGCCCGCGCGGGGCCTGTCCTCAGACCCTCCTCCGAGGAGTCGAGCTGGACGCCGATGTCGTCGCGGTGGAAGCTGGCGATGTCGGACGACGAGCCAGCGACGGCAGCGCCGTCAAGAAGAAAGGCACCATCTTCTGGAGCAGAGCCAGCGGGACGATCGACGCCGTCGCTGTCCACGGTGGGCACTTCTCCAGGACTTGCCAGAACAAGCGCAGAAATCTCCGCATGTTGGTCATCAGGATCTCCTGTGTCCGAAAGAGGATCGGCAGACGCCAAAACCACAGACTGGGCCACCTCGAGGTCGTTGTCCGCATCCTCTTCTGCTTCCAGGAGGTGGAGCAGTACGTCCTCATCGCCCTCACTCATACTCGAAGCGCCATTGTCAGAAGAGGCCGCAACCGTAGGCGGCGAGAAAGAGGCGGTAGCAGCGCCATCAGGGGGAACAACATCACCAAGAGCAGCACTGCCTGGAAGTTGGGCGTCCGCATCAAAAGCCTCCTCATGCTGTCCGATGTCATGGGGGGCCTCTGCAGGTAGCGGCGGCGCGCCTGTAGGGTTTGTCGTCCAGGAGGCGCGAACGCGATTGGTGAGACCATTAACCCGCGGGCGAGAATCACTTGGACCTGGTGTCCCCAATTGGGATGGTTGCGCAGGGCCTGAGCCAGATTGGTTGTCACTACCGCCGTCCGACCCCTGCAACTCGAGGTAAAGACTGCCTCCTCCTTCACCGCCCAGTACACTGTCAGGGTTCTGAAGCATCCAGATCGCCAGGCACCGCTGCTCGTCCGAAAGCTCGAAGTGCTCGTTCAGGAAGTGCACCGCTTGCGCCATGTGTCGGCCTGGGAGCGGCTCAGAAGATCCCGCGGCCAATCGAGCGGCGAACGCGGCATCGCGCACCGCAGCGCTCCAAAGCCGAAGACTATTGATGGCATCTGCACTTGCCGTAGCTGAAGCCGACGAGGTAGCCCCCTCAATGGGCCCCGTGGGGGAAGCGACCATCGTAGGGCCTGGCATTGTCCGTCTCGCAGCACCGCCCACTGACCCATCTGGATAGATAACCCCAAGCCCATGCGCCGCCATCGTCTCGTTAAAGCCGTCGTCGGAGCAGCTGGAAGAGGTGGTCTCGCGCCGTTCATCAGGAGAGAGAGAGAGAGAGAGAGAGAGAGAGAGAGAGAGAGAGAGAGAGAGAGAGAGAGAGGATAAGCGGGTGGAGGCCTCGAGGATGAGGCCGCAGGGTCAGACGGCCCATATGTGTCCACCCTCGAGCGCCGCACAGCAGCCTGCACTTGAGCTTCGAATTCCTCATCCGTTCATATCGGCCCAATATGGCGTGAGTATTCATCGGCCGTCATCTCCGTGCCATCGCCAGAAGATGCCTCCATGTGCTCCATGTCCAGGTCCGTGGGCTCAGGGTAGCCAACAGTGTCGACGCTGCGGTTGTCCTCGTCAGGCGGGTGCAGGGCATCGGCGTCGAAGCAGTCGCCCCCCTCTGGCACAAGATGCGGCAGGAGGTGCGTGAGCGGGAAAACCTGTCGCATCCGCAGGATGTCAGCCTGTTCTGCTTCGTTTATACGCGTCAAGTCTGCAGCCCAGTCCCGTTGCCGAAGATGTGCGAAGGCACGTTGGCGAAGGGTGCGGAGACGCCGGTGATCATGGGTGGGCCACGGTTGACGGAGGTGCAGACGCGCCTGTTCCCTGGGGATAGCTGGCGAGTACCAGACACTCATGCACAGCTCGATCGCCGTATTCCAACGCTCCGAGGTGCAAGTAACGGCACCCAGGGCCCCGCGCGAAGAAGAGCTGAAGAGAGACCGAAAGTCACTATAGCGTAATACGTCTGCCACGTAGGGAACACACCATTCCATCCATTGTTGGAAGTCAGACCCAGAAAAAGAAACATACAGCGATGGCAACCACTGCTCTGCCCAACGAGAGATAGCATCCAGCAGCAGACGACGCCGATGTCCTTGATCACCTTGCACTCCCTGTGGAACGCGTCGCGCCAGCGGGTCCTGGGCGAACAGCAAGTCCTGCTCAAGTGGGACCCCACAAGACGGTGGAAGCCATGCAGCAACCGAGCGAGTAGACCCGACAGGGCACGAACCCTCAGTCACTGCTTCGGACGAGCCAGGATGCGCGGCAGGGTGCGCCTGAAGATGGGGCCAGCATCGTATGTGCATGTGTTCGTCCGCAGCCTGCCTCAACGCCAAAACCCGAGTTGAGTCGGCCGTGTCCCATGTTGTCGAGAGGTGATGGTATAGCCGAGTCCTCCCAACCGACGAACTGTGCCACGCAGCATGGCTCATGCTGGAGCCGAGGGTGCCCCTCTCCTGCATCGTCCCTACAGGGGTAGCGAACAGCCCGCAGAAAGCCCAGTATTGAAACACACGGCTGGAGAACTCTGTGCCCCATTGCATCCAGTCATCGAAATCGCTGCAGCCGTTGGGTTCCAAGAAGAGCGAGAGGGCCCAGTTCCGCGCCCAAGACTCCAGCAGAGCAGCAAATTGAGCCAATCACCGCAGCATGATAGGGCCAACTCCAGTCGGCGGCATAGCAGAAAACCTGACCTCGCCAAGAGCAACAGGGTAACGTATACGATGCGGTAGAGTGTCGCGAAGGGAACGGCGTCCGACTGGCAGCATATCGAGGAGATCGACCGACCGTGGATGCTCGACCGATGTTAATTCGAGACAATTAGCAAGCACAGGGCAGGGTGGCTCCGGTGGGCGGCGCGTGATCCTGGCGCGCCCAGCCAGAGGCGGAGCCAGCGCACGTGTCCGTACTGCGCCTCTCAGCGCAGTGAGCAGCAGCTCGGGAGGGACGCGGTGCAGGTGCCGAAGGCCGTGATACGCGATGGTGGCAAGATGTGTGTTCATCAAATCCTCGTCGAATCAGCCGCGGAGACCCCAGCGATCAAGAACGTTCGAGGGTAATCAGGAAGACATGCACACGCTGCCGAAGCTCAGCCGGGAATGGTCCTGCCAGTGGGACGATCACACACTTAGCTGGTTTGAGCTTCAAGCTGGCCAGCTTGGCTGCCACCGCCATCGCGCGCGATAAAAATTTCAGATCGATCATCTCGAAGAGCACACCCCCGATGTCATCAGCGCACGCTCGAAAGACACCGCGCTGTCGAAGCTCGATCCCCTGCCTGATATCTTCCAAAATTGGCGAAGTCGCCGCCGCAAACAAGCTTCCAGATAAGGCGCAGCCTTGAATGATGCCGCGCCAGATACGGAAGAGGGGCTTAGTGACCCCTGCAGCTCTTCCCAACGCAGTGACAATCGCATAGAGAGAGCGTATCGCCTGTAGTAGAGCAGACGGAAGCTGCAGATGCCCTGGCTGAGGCTGGGGAACGCCTGCCCAAAATCCAGTGCCACAAGCAGCGGCATCCTCTCCAGCGGGTTGGGCATCAGCGAGGCGGCCCTGGCTAACACATCGAGCTCAAGAATATTTGAAGTGAATTGTCGGCCCGAAATAAAGCCACGCTGCGCAGCGGGTGTGGAGCTCTGCACTATGGGGGCGAAGGCGGCGTTAAGAGTGGCCGAGATCACTTTCATGTCCGTGTTGCGTAGCCCAAGCGTGCGCACTGTGCCAGGGGACCTGCTGACCCCTCTGCCGTCATCATCACCAGCTGGACAGCCTTTAAGGAGAAAAGCTTGAAGAGTGTCACCGCACTGTGCGAATAACCGCTGCCCGTCCATCATCCACGCACAAGCTAGCCAGAGGACCTTCGCGCCCATCTCGTGGGCGGCCCATGCAGCGCCTGGTAGCCCGCCGGCGCCAGGAGAGGATCGCGACGGCGCAAGTTTGACAAGCGCACGCTGAAGCATCCCGAAAGATGGAGGGGCAAGCCCATCATACGCACATGGATGAACAAATCGTTCAGCATAGCGCCTTGCGCGTGCGGAAAAGGCTTGGGGGGGCGGCAGATATTGGCGCCCAATAGCGCGTGAGCGCATCCAGCTTCTCAAAGGGGTCGGTGTAGGTGATTCCATCGACCTCGATGGAGCGCAATGCCAGCTTCTTCGCGAACGGAACCCAAAGCCGAGCTTTCCGTTGCACCGCCGCGACCGCCCCTGCTGAAGGACGCTGGCGCCTTTTCCCGTGAACTGCATCATGTTGTAGTCGCTCCATTTCCAGCTCCGCCGATCGATGCTGAATAGAGTCAACCCAAGCTTGAAACGCTGAATAGTCCGTGATGGTGACCTGTGTGTCTTGCACCTGCAAGCACGATCGCGCAACTTCAGGGGCATGGCATAATTTCTGAGCAAGAGTAGTGTTCTGTCTCCAGACACACCGAGCGGCCTGACGAACAAAAATCAACTGGGCCTCCAGGGAGTCACTCTCGTTGACCAAGATACTCTGCATCGTGTCGAACGCCGCAGCTTGAACCAGGCCCTTGTAACGCAACAGTTGCTCGGTGGCGACATGCCCAAGAGAAACTGCCCATCGTTGCCAAGAAACACGCTTAGCCGCCGCCGAAACCCAAGTCGTTTGAAGAATATGCGCAGGGGCGGGCTTGCAGTAGCAGCCCTCCAGATCACGATGTCGAATGTGAACCCTGATCGCCGCGTGGTCTGAAGGCTCCTTGGCACGCATCTCCTCGGGCGTGGAGACGACCGACACGGAGTGCTGGAGTTGGCGCGACATCCAATTCGGTTCAGAACGCCAGAGCCGATCGATCTGCGACATGCTCTTCGTGTCCTGGCAGTAGTGGGTCGGATCCTCAGACGCCATCTCTAACAGTCGATCAAAAACCGAATACCAGAGCCTGGCATGAGAGCGAGAGTCATTCGTAACCTTCCTTGACTTTGCTGCCGTCGGTTGTGCCAAGTGGAGCGCATCATGGGCCGCGAAGTTGAGGTCGCCGCATGCAGCAACTAACCAGGAACTGTGATTGAGCGAGGCCCACTCCAAAGTATCCTGAATAGCCCTGGCCACTTTCTGAACTTCCGCCGCAGAGAGACCGCGATTGTGAATGTTGTAGTGTCGAATCTCAGCGCACGAGCCCACCAAAATTGCCCGCCGCACTCTGCCCCTGGTGGGAGGAGCGGACGAAGAGGCTCGAGCTGGAGGTGCAGAAAGCGGCACAATAGTGGCGACACCGCCACGGCCACGACCTGACTCACCATCTCCACCATGAACATATTCGAAGGAACCAAAGACCGCGGCTGATGGTGCGACTCTGCGCATGCAAACTTCCAGCTCGCCCTGGGTCTGGTGAACCTCTTGGATGGCGACGACAGAAGACGAAATGCCGACCAGGTCCAGGTAGGAGGCCTTGCTCATCGAGCGCGCGCCGCGAAATTGCAGCAGAGCACGAGCATTCCACGACGCGAGCGTGAGCTCCTGACACCGCGGTGCGGGGCCACCATCAACCTTGTGGTAGAAGATGCCGTCGTACTTGCTAAAGAGACCATTCTGGCCCCGCGTTGGGCTTGCGGAGGTGGCCGATCGACTTGTCAATCCCAGCGCGCGTCCATCCACGAGAGGTAAGCGCAGCGCCGTGAAAATAGCAGAGCGCGGGGTCACGGCCAGGCTGAGGTTCAAGGCGCAGCACAGGGTTCCAGTTTTCAGATAGCCAACCATACTGACGATCGAGGAAGAACTTGCACGGCGGATGCTCCTCGCGAAGCACGCTCGTGACCTTCTTTCCAGCGATCCCGAGCTTGATTTGGTACGACGATTTGTCAGGCCCAATGCGCAGCTGCGCTGAACCACCCGACGCAGCGGGCACGGGGAAGCGCATCCACTGGCCTTTACCGAGACGTAGTGCTGCGAGGGCCTGGGACACACGCTTGCAGGCGAGGCCGACAGCACCTGTGAACTGAATGACGAATATGCGGTCCGGTTCATCCCCTTCGATCTTGAAGCCGTCGATCTTGGCGCCCTGGGGCCACTTCTCGACTGAGGCGACCACATCCTTCTTACAAGCCATCGTAGGCGCGACAGCTTTGAGGATGGTGCCGTCAATGTTACGCTGGAAGCCAATACCAGCGGGCTTGGGAGGCTGCGGGGCTTTGTTGGCCATAGCAAGCTCATTTCGCATTTCCTCCAAGGAGTTCTGCATGTCGGCGAACTGCTTGGCAAGGGTCTCAGTGCGGGCGCCCACGTCGTTGATATTGGCAGCCACTGTGTCCAACTGGCGCTGGATGCGTTGCTCGAGATCGTTGAGTTCCAGACGCAGATGGGCTTCCATTTCATTCTTGCAGTTCCCAGGGACGGCCTTGATCGCGTTCTCGAGTGCGCGGACAGCCGCCATGACTGGTCCACAGCCTTGCCAGCTGCGTCGGCCGCAGAGGTAGACGCAATAGTGGCCAGGTCCTCCTTGAGGGTCTTGAACTCCAGCGGGAGGCGCTTGCCAAGCTGTTCGGCAATGAGGCCGTTGATGTGGGCACCCCCGTCATCGTCGGCCATGTCATATGCATCATCTTCTGCGTCTGAGACGTTACGGCTCGACCTCGATCGATCATCGTCCACCCGGCCACCAGCAAGAACATTATCATCATAACCCCGCACGACTGCTGGACGCCCCGCTGCAGGGGGCTTCTTCTTGCGCTTGGGAGCACTGCCATTCGGGGGCATGCGCAGGACGCGCGCGCCGAAGCTTGACGCGATCGGACCGACAGGAACGGGGAAGGCCTCCGTTTACCCACCGACCCGAGCGCAGCGAAGGTGGACGAGAGAAAGCGCCAGACTTCAAGAAGTCTTGCCAGCCGCGGACTAGCGGTATCCGCTTGGTTTCCAGGGGAAGCCTGCATCTTGAGCCAAAGTGGCTACGGAGCCGCGAGGAGGAGGAGGAGGAGGAGGAGGAGGGATGGGGAAGGAAACGCGCGAGTGGTGCTCTTTTTAAAGGAGAACCCAACAGAGGAGGGTTTGGGAACAAACCACACAGAGAGCGAGAGAAAGGGGGGGGGAGAGAGAGAGAGAGAGAGGGAGAGAGAGAGAGAGAGAGCGAACAAAAAGAGAGAAAGAGAGACATATATAGAGATAGAGAAAGAGAGAGAGAGAGAGAGAGAGAAAAACAAAACAAAGAGAAAGAGAGAGAGAGAGAGAAAAAAAAAAGAGAGAGAGAGAGAGAGAGAAATAGAGAAAGAGAGAGAGAGAGAGAACACAAACACTGAGAGAGAGAGAGAGTGACAAGACACACGCGGTGATGCTCAGGCAGAGCTGCAGCGTGTCTCTGGGCAACAGATTAAATTCCGCTGCCCAGCGCCAGTCGACCCTCGAACTCCTCGCGCGGGGAGAGGGGAAGAATAGATCGGGGGTGCCCAAACCAGGGGCGTCCAAGAGGGGGGGTCGCAAATCATGGCCCGAGGAATGCGCGCGGGCGGGGAACAGGCAATGGGTCGTGTTGGAAGAAGCGGGGGAGGGGGGCCATGAAATCCGGGTAAACATCATGGCCTCAGTCATGACCCCCCCTTTCCCTAGGCATCGCCCCCACCATGTTGGCCGCCCCCGATCGGGGGAGAGGCGGGGCATTGCAAGTCACGCCCAACCCAGCCGATGCACCCCTTGTTGCATTCAATCCGTGCCCTGGGAAAAATAGAGGTAAGCATCAAAGAGAAGACCACCCCTGAAAACCTGCCCCCGCACCGTTTTCAGGGGGAGCCCCCAAAAAACATTGAGCTGGCGTGGAGGCGAGAGTACTGCCTTGGTCAGCGACTGTTTTGCGCAAGACGTGCGCTCTCCTGATTTACGCATGTTGCTATACTCGTAATAATCATATGGGCCTGAGGCGCTCGCTGACCAACCCCTGTCAATCTTGAGTTAGAACATCGATCGGCTTCTAAACATCGGCGAATATGGAACAATGCCAGTTTACTTCGTTTCAGCAGAAGTCTACGTCTCAGCGCGTCGGGGCTGAGACATACCACGCTTAGCCGTCGAGGCCGTATGGAGAAGTAAGGTCCCCGCCCGAATTTTTTGCGCATGAAGCGCATTTCGAAATCAAGATAGCATCAAATTGACATTTCAGGCGCAAGGCGCCATCCCTGTTCCAATCTCCAATCCCTCTCCCGCGGGAGTCGAACGAATGCGGGAGGGTGCTGGGGTCAAGGGAGACAGGGGAACTGGGGAGAGGTGCGCGGACACTGGGAGGGGGAGAGAAGAAGACGCCGCTTGCCTCACAGCCCCTCCTAAGACGAAGCCAGGACAGGAAAGACATCGGACAAACAAAAATCTGAGACCTAGCGGTTCTGGAGGTGCGTGTTCGGACTGAACAGGTCTGAGAAGTTTGAAAGATTGAAGGATTGAGAGATGTTTCGATACAGGGGTCCTGGAATTAAATATTGGAAATAATTGTAAACATCTTTTGATACGGTGCCTCCGGATTGAAAAAATGAAAGAGTGAAAGATCCCGTGCCTCTTCAATCTTTCAATTTACATTATGGGATCCCCGGATTCAAGGATGCTTCTATTGATCATTTCCTCTTTTCAATATTGAATATCGCGGGTGAGCGATTGCTCCTCTTTTCCATTTTTCCATTGCTGGATTGCCCCATCCGACCCTCGGCTCCCCGGACGTCTCAAAAATGTAGCAATTCGCCCCCCCTGGAGAGCCTGAACAAGCAAAACATGTACGATTCAAAAAGGAACACGTATAACTGCACCAGATTCGCCTCTTCGACTTTCACGCCATCCACGACAGCCCCAGAGGGTTTCAGCATCGCCCCCAAAACACCACAAGAGTCTCTGTAGAGGTTCCCGAAACAGCCGAAGACAGCCCCAAGCGAGCCCCAGTCGCCTCACAGTCGCCTAGGAACCCACACGTAACTGGCAAGAGGCCCAAGGAACCCTGTACATGTCCGCAGAGTGTGTACGATTCCCCCGATGAAAACGTAGACTTGCACCAGATTCGCCTCTTCGACTTTCACACCATCCACGACAGCCCCAGAAGGTCCCAGCATCGCCCCAAAAACACCCCAACAGCCTCTGAACAGGTTCTCCAGACAGCCGAAGACAGCCCCAAGCGAGCCCCAAAGTCGCTTCAGACTCGCCTAGGAATCCACACGAAACCAGCAAGAGGTCCAAGAAATCCTTTACATGCCCGCGAAGTGCGTCCACAGGTCCCCACGAACTTCCCGGAGGCGCCCGAAAATTCAAAACACTGCTTCCAACGCGTTCTCGACAGGCTTACCACGAAGCTCCATCAGCCATCCGAGTTGCCACGCACCCACAACCCCAGGCACGTTGCCACGTGGAGTTTAGCAGGCCTTGTGCGCAACAAGCAGGGTGCAATGCTATGCTTCCGCCTCCCGAGGCGTGACAACGTGACTCATCGAACGGGTGCGGCCTTCGTCGTTGCCAAGCTAGCACTAGCATGCCATGTTTTCCTGCCGCCGTCCCCAGGCGTTGCCACGTGAGGGGTATTGTACTCTACGTGATGGTCCTGCCCCGCTGCCCTCTGGAGCCGTCGAGGGGTCCCACGCCCCTCGTGTTCCTGTCCCTTCGCCTCCTCATCTTCCTCCTACACCTCCTCCTCTCACGTCGTCCTCCTCCTCCTTTTCCCCTCCCGCCACTGTCCCAGGCGCTGCCACGCGAGGGGTCGTGTACAACACGTCGATTTGGTGTTCCGCTCCCCCAGAAGCCGTGGAGAGGCCTCAGGCGCCTTTTGTTCCTATTTCTCCTCTTCCTCCTCATCTGCCCCCTCCTCCCTTTTCCCGCGGTCCATTTCCTACTCCACCTCCTCGTCCTCTCCCGTCACCCTCTCCTCCTCCTCTTCCTTCTCCTACTGCCGCCTACTTTCCTCTGTCACGTGACTTACTTCCGCCAACACCTCCGTCGCCCTCCGCCGAATTTGCCAACGGGCTCCGCGCGTCCGCGACAACTCCATGTTCATGCGGATCCGCGCTTGTTCCCCCACCGTCGGGGCGAACACCGCGGCCCGATCAAATGATACAACCTTATAGTGCCCCGTGCCGTGCGCTTTACCTCCGCCGACTCAGTCCTCGCATTCCGCCGACATCCACCAGACAAGAGCCCGGTAAAACGACAGCATTGGTGGCTGCCTTCGAACGGATGTCGCACGTTTCGACAGAAATCTGGGCCAACAAATTCTGGCCCTGGAGCCTCGGATTGAAAGGTTGAAATAATGACAAATTCGAAAGCAATCCAATCGCACATTCGTTCAATCAAGAACCTTTGGATTGAAAAATGTGTTATTCCTTCTACATTCCAATCCAGGCCTCCCAGAATGAAACATTTTTCGTTCTTTCAATATTTCATTATTTCAATCTGGGACCTCCGGAATGAAAGATATCCGCCGGCCCCCTTGTGGGGCCACCAGGCTGTAGGCCGAAGGTTCGCAGTTTCCTGTGCCAGTTGCAGCTTCCGTTTCCACTGTTACAATTCTGCTTATTGCTGCTTACTGTTCCTTGTTGATGAACCGCGCGAGGGGGGGGATGCCCAAACGGGCAGGTTTAGCACGTCCTGAGCGTGTTGTCTGAATTGCTGGGGTGGGTAAGAATTGACACCGCTCACGCAGATCGGCGGGGTCAGGATCCAAAAACACATGGGATTTGCTACATTTCTGAAATTCAGTGGCACCCCATCACGAAGATCAGCGGGGTCAGAGTCCAAAGACACGTGGGATTTGCCACATTACTGAAATTCGCTGGCACCCCTCACTCAGATCGGCGGGGTCAGGGTCCAAAAACACATGGGATTTGCAACATTTCTGACATTCGGTGGCACCCCTCACGCAGATCGGCGGGGTCAGAGTGCAAAAATACATGGGATTTGCCACATTTCTCAAATCCGCTGGCACCCCTCACGCAGATCGGCGGGGTCAGGGTCCAAAAACACAAGAGATTTGCCACATTTCTGAGATTCGGCGGCACCCCTCACGCAGATCCGTAGGGGTCAGGGTGCAAAAACATTGGGGATTTGCTACATTTCTGAAATTCGGTGCCACCCCTCACGCAGATCCGTAGGGTCAGGGTCGAAAAACAAACAGGTCCCGACACTGCTTCAGGGCGGCGCCCAGACCTTATGATTTAGCTTTTGCATCTCCCATTATCCGAGACAGGGGGCCGGCGGCACGGGGCGAAGCCCTTACGGATTTCACTCATTCATTCTCTCAATCTTGCAATCCCTTCCCACATAACCAAATTCAATCGTGCAATCCTTTCAATATTCCAATGCCTCCCTAGGCCTCTCTGCGACAAACAAACGAACGCTCTGGAACGATTCATCCCTATCCTAACCACACCCGGCCTCCCCCATGGTTCCCTTGGTCCTCCTTCTTGTAGAAGGCCCGCAATCCAGACCCAATCTGGCGTATCTCCGACTCGCCGCAATCGATTTCCTCGCAGAAGAGCTTGTCCGAGTCGGGGTGTTCCCAGACCTTCCAGGTGCCACGAGGATCGCGTGAGCGACATAGATGGCAAGAAATAATTTACTTCCCGAGCCTCCCGAGGCCTGTCATTGACACCCTGTCAAGAATGAGACAACGAAAAAGAGGGAGAAAGAGAGAGAGAGAGAAAGACGAACAAACGCTCGAAAAATTAAGAGACACAGAAATAGGGGTGGAAGTATGGCGAAACGGGTCGGAGCAGGAGAAGATGACATATCAGTCTGAAGAGGGGGTGGTGGAGGAGAAGAGGGTGGACGAGGAGGAGGGCGCGGATGGTGGGGCGATGAGGAATGGCAAACGGAAGACAGAAAAACAGGGAGAGACGATGGAAAGAACATGAGGCGGGGCAACCGAAAATGATAGCTACCTCCGATGGACATCTGCCGCCGTGTAATGTAGTGATGCCCGCGTGTCTATTAACTGCAAAGGGCTGGCCCCCCCTCGCGGCGCAATCATCCCCTGCAGATCGCCTCCCCCGCCGTTCTCTGGAGCCCCTCAGAAAGCCGAGGGCCGCTCCAAAACGTCCACAACCATCGCGCTACTACTTCTGGCCGCGGCGAGCCTCAGGCAACCACTCTCTCCCCGACCCAGATCTGAGGAGCGGCCGGAAAACCAGAGCTCCCTCAGGAGCCCAACGTGGTCCTCATTTCAGCGCCTTGACTGTACAAGACGCCACCAGAGCATCCAAAGACAGCTCCACGAGCCCCCTCCAAGAGCCAAGGATCTCCTCAAAATACCCCGCGAGACCCCAAGAGACCTCCGAGAGACGCCCCAGGAGAG